GAGATGGATTCCCAGCACTCAGCCGGAACCGGTAGAGGCTGTAAAGGTGCACGCAGTGAAGGACTTGACTTCACTCGTTGGCAGACTTCGCATGCGCGAACATACTTTCGCACAAACTGATACTGGCGGGGCCAGTAAAAGTCTCGACTTACCGTGAGATATGTTTTCTCTCGGCCACGATGTCCTCCTATAGGAGCATCGTGATACTCGAACATGATCCGCAAACGCAGATCAATATCATCTGGAATGACAACACGTGGTGTGTCACCAGAAACGGCTGTATAATACAGTAAACCGTTACGAGTAGTGTATCGATCTGATGCAGATCGATACGCAGACGACAATCGTTTCAACGATTCTCGAGATGGTTGGGAGAGATGTGACAACAACTTCACTATCTCACCATCTTGGGCGTATGCCCGCCTCACATCATCATACAACATTGTAGATGGGACTGAGGACGTCATAACTGCAACAGTGACTGTCTCACTGTTGGGTTTCGCGACTGTTTCAAAGTCGGGACGACGTGAGAGTGCATCAGCGACGACATTAAGTCGTCCTGGTTTGTACTCGACCGTAAAGTTGTATTCTGCAAAGAATGACAACCACCGCGCCATTCGTTGTGAAAGGTGCGGGCTGTTCACTGCCGTGCGTAAGGACGCATGGTCAGTGTAAACAACGAAGGGTCTATCTCCTAATAGATAGACTCTGAACTTCGCGAGTGCATACTTCATGGCAAGGAGTTCCTTGTCATGCACTGGATAGTTCCGCTCAGCTGGTTGCAGCTGACGCGACTGATAGCAGACGACGCGTTCAACGCCTTCAAGGTCGTACTGCATTAATGCACAGCCGATTGCGAAATCGCTGGCATCACAGACCACATGAAATGGCCTGTCCTGATCGGCTATTGCTAGGACTGGGGATTGTATCAAGCTCTGCTTGATACCCTCAAAGGAGCGTTGACATTCAGCGTTCCATAACCACCTCTCGTTCTTTTTCAACAAACGAGAGAGGTGTACAGTCATCTCGGCGTAATTGCGTGAATACTTATGCAAATACGCCGCTAGCTCAAGGAATTTTCGAAGACCTTTGACATCGACCGGCACGGGCCAGTCGGTGATCGCCTTGATCTTTTCGGGATCAGGACGTACACCGTTCTTACCAACGATGCACCCAAGAAGTGGTATTTCGCTTGCTGCAAATATACACTTCTTGAGGTTTGCATACAATTGATGCTTTCGCATGATTGTAAGAACTTGTCGGACGTGGTACCTGTGAACCTCAACGTCCGATTTTCCATCCATAGCTCGACTATGGATGAATACGTCATCGAAATAACTCGGCGCGAATTCTCGTACTGGCCTCAACAGATGTGATACACACCTGTTGAACGTGGCAGGGGCATTACTGAGCCCTTGTGGCATTACTAGCCATTCCCAGAGCATGCCACTAGGCGTGCTAACTGCGGTATAGGGTATATCCCGTTCCCGCATTAGGATTTGATAGAAGCCATCCATCAAATCCATGGACGAAAAGATGGTACTCTTTGACATACCATCAATGATTACGTCCTTCCTCGGTATCGGCGTCTGAGCCGGTACCGTTGCAGCGTTCAATTTGTTAAACGCGTGCACTATCCGCCACCCTCCTGTTGCTTTTCGCACACAGAAGGTCGGAGAGCTATGTGGGGAAGTTGATTCCCTCACATGGCCCGCTGCTAAACGATCGGCAAAGAACTTGTCGATCGCAAGTACTTGTTCACGAGGCAGTGGCCACTGCTTCATGACACAGTACTTCGAGCCTGGTTTAAGCTCGACTTCGTGTCGAATACCTTTATCCTTCGGTAATTCGCACGGAACAGTTTCAGGGAATACATCCTTGAATTCAACCAAATCTTCATAGAGAGGATTTTCCTTGAGCGATTCCCATGATTGGGACTCATATCGCTCAATTCGTGTCTTTTCATCTAGGGCACTCTCGTCCATAGATGAACTACTGAGAACTCTCTCGTTCTCAGTAAACACTGTTGCTGACCTTATGTCGGTTACATACTCGTCGTCAGCGACGAGTATGCAGATCTGCTTGACTTTGCCACTACGCAGATCACGCAAGAATCTTTTATGTTCGAGCGTTGGCAACTGAGTGATCTCCGAAGTTAACTTCGGAGGCGCAATCAGATCAAGTGTATAAGCGCCTACACATGATCCGTTATTGACTATGACATTCAATGTCTCTGTCATTTCCTGGGGACTTATTCCCTCAGGCTTCGAAGGACTTATTCCTTCGTCTTCCCGGGGACTTATTCCCGCGGGTTTCGGGGAACTTATTTCCGCCGTATTTGTAATCTTGGGACTTATTCCCTTTACTTCCTCTAGCTGGGGTTGCGCAACCACAGCGAGATCCTCTACGAAAGACTCTCCAGTCGATCTAGGATTATCGTTTCGCTTAACCTGAGCGATCGATTGTTTCTCTTCTAGATGTTCCCCTCTAGGGATACATCTTTGTCCCAGTCCACCCGACTTATTCGAGTGGTGGACCTTCGGCGCAGCCTGTGTTTCCCTCACAGCCGCCGGAACTTTGCTCCGAAGTGTAACCGTTTGGTACACTAAGGTTTTGTGCAGTCGTACTAACGACCGTACCACAAGTGAGGCCATCGCACTCACTCGTAGTACATCCACACGCTTGTGGACGCTCCAAAACGTTCATCAGATGGCCATCTGATGAACAAGCGGCAGGCATCGTTACTGTCCGATGTTGCCAGTTTACCCGTGGTTCGTACCTTCTGAGCCACGGTATTCCAAGGATGACATCAAATTTGTCATCCAAATCCAATACGATAAAGTCATCGTCGTATTGGGTATCTTCTAGTGTATAGTGAATCTTCACTATACGCTTCATGACGGTTACGGATGCGCCTGTCGCAAGACGTACCGTCATCCTCGTAGGAGGTGTGTCACATTCACTGAATTTAAAGTGACCATCTTCTAGCGATTGGCGTCGCACAAAATTGTTGGACGCCCCACAATCGACTAGAGCTCGAAGGGACAACTTATTCGTCACTTCGAGTTTCAAGGTAATGAGTGAGATCTCATTACCTAGAGCAGCAACGCACAATGTCTGTGTGTTGGGAGCAACCTTCATCAAGAGGCCTACAAATTCTCTTGACGTTGCTGGATCAGTAGGGTGCTCCGCACCTACTGATCCTGTCCGTTTTTTGACGGTCCATCCCGTTGTTGCGTCTTTGCACCAACTGCGGACCCTCGTCCCTGCCCCTTTCTCATGGGTGGACGGTCACTACGCCCAGTGTCGCGAGACACTGGACGAGGGGCACTACACTCGTAAGCGTAGTGTCCTGTCTTTTGACATCTGTTGCATCTCTGCAACTTCTTGTAGCCTGTAGAGCGAGCCTTCTCGCTCTCTACATAACAGAGTTCCATCGGCTCTGGACCTCCGTTGTCATATCGTCTCGGTTGACGATATGATGTCGAGCTGGCGCGAGCCTGTCTCAGACTGAAGTCTTCCTGCTCCGCAATGGAAATGGCTTGTTCTAGTGAATCTAGTTCAAGCCGGAACAGGTGAGTCTTGACGGGACCATCCGCAAGACCCTGCATGAACACCGAAACCAACGTGTGTTCATCCACCGGATTGGAACTTATACAACTCGTGAGATGTCGTATATGTTGAGCGTAAGCGTGCACATCACGCTTACCCTGCTTGAGCTTCAAGAGTTCGGTTCGAGCTCTGAACTCAGCTCTAGGCGGTTCAAACGTTTGTCTGAGCCGCGACTTGAAGACTTCCAACGACCCAAACGCATATGGGTCGTGCAGCTTGAGCCCCAGTGCCCAAGTCTTGGCACGTCCTGCCAGATTTGATTGGGCAAATGCAACTTGCATATCCCCGTCGTCGATGCGACGCGCCCTTATGGCGTCATCCAATTCGACGAACCATCTCAAGAGGGAGTCTTCTTCGACCCCTCTATACTTTGAGATGTCAATCTTCAAAGTCTCGGGCCGACGCGAGTGCATCGACCCGCCAGCAGCAGCCTGCTGCTGTCTCAACAGTTCAAACTGTTGAGCACCTTGTTCTCTCAACAACTCTGCTTGTTGAGAACCTTGTTGGTGAAGCAAGGCTACTTTCTCGCGTTCAGCGTCAAGTTCATTTTGGATGAACTTGGCGATAGTAGCATGTTGGGCGTCTCTATTGAGAGCCTCTAGCATGACGCTAACAGCATGGATGCCCATGGTCGAACCCATTCGTTCAACCGCATCCCATTCGACATCGCTCAAATGGGAGTAGCCGTCACGCGTAGCGTGAAAGCTTTGGTCATCTTCATCATCCAACATATTCATGTTGGATGTGAACGCGGTCCTTGGACGGACTACGAAGTGCTACCAGGTGTAACGGGGCACCCTGAAGCTTGTACTGGTGACAGTACAAGCTACTTATTCTGATGACAGAATAAGGCGGTGCCTCGTAACTTCACGTACACTCGTACGTGCAGAGGAAGACGGTAAGAAGAAGCGAGTACTCGGTTAGAGTAAAAAGTAGAACTGTATTTATAATAGTTAATGTCTGCAATAAATCACTATTTATCTTCATCTAACTATGTCTAAATACAAATGTGTAAATCAGTTATCTGCTCACCACTCATTGCGTGCGTCTGTCGTGGCGCGTCTTCGTTGGTTGATATAATGGCCTATATCAACCAATTAGGAACTACTTGGAAGTGCTACAGAATATTGTCCTTATGACAATATTCTGAGAATATAGCTCTTATAGTTATATTCTATTAACAATTTCTTATAAATTGTTATGTAACGATTCACCCCGTTACATCATCAGAGCAAAAGGCGCAGTCAGATCCACCATTCCCTCCTTCGATATTGACGAGTCAACGATGTCGTAAAGCTACAACAAAATAAACTAGGCTCGGCTTAGCTCACTGGTGGAAGAAGGTCCACGATGGAACAATTACAATTACTGCTTTGTGCCGCTATAAATTAGCAGACGTCTTCCAGGTCCGCATTTTCAGCTCGCAGATCCTCCAGAATCTCATTTATGCGAACCACACATTCAGTGTGTTTGCTTGTTAGGGTTTCTACGGACCGTTGTAAGAATGCAACGCTGGAGTCATCGGGTTCAGGTATGTTAGCTGCATCGCTGAGCCGCATCTTCTCAACCATTACGGCGGACGTCTGGAGCAACATCCTGTCAACTTAGAAATTCTCAACAACATGTCATTGCCACGAACGTACCAGAAGTAGCTTGTTCTTCTCTTCCGATTGCAAGTTGCGGAGCAGTTTCGCAATTGACACTTGCTGCATTTTGTCCCGCAGGAGCTTCTCGATGCACTTAATTTGCTCACTTACATTCGAAAAGCGAATCGTGATTTCAGAGCCTGAACGGATCAGTATGGTTGCCTTCGTTTAGAAAACAAGTTACGTATGGAGAATCGTGCATAGAAGACTGCTTGACTTACAGAACGTTGGAAACTGCTGAGTTTTCTGGTGAGCTTGAAACCCCCTAAACAGAATCAATACAAGGTCAATTTTCGCCAGCACCAAAACAAAAAGCTTCGTTACAATTGAAAGAACCGACTCTCGGAAGTCCGTGTAAATCAGGACGCGCATCTCCTGCAATTGAAAAACCGCTTGTATGAGCTGTCGGGGACTTAAACGCAATAGATCCTCAGCTGGTTCCGAAGCGAAGCTTGTTTTTGACGTAGCTTCTTTCACATCCAATGGCGTACTATTGGCCCTATTTTCACAGTCCTCATGCGAGTGTGGAGGTCGCGCGGCCAGCAGCGATAAGCACTGCTGGAACTCCATCGTCTCGAGTTCTTATGAGATGTTTTAAATAAAGCAGTACGATACGAAATTGTACGATTGATTCGGGATCGTGTACGACAAAGATTTGATTTGGCATTTATAATTATTTAGAAGTCAGTGCCACTCAAATTGCAACATAACTATTCAAGGGTTTAGTACGCACTTGGCTATCACCCAATGATTGTACCTTGCTCACTGAAAAAAACCCTGAGAATCACACAAACGTATTGCGACAACTACATGGTATTAGACCGAGTAAAAACTTGTGAAGGCAGACCAAGTATCTGATACGCATAGATAGATCCTGTTGGTGACCTCATGAAAGTGGACACGAGTATCTGTATCGCTCTACATCACAATACACCGGTTGGACTGTAGGCTTTACGCCTGACATTCCTTCGTAGCATCTGTGCAACCGCAAAAAGCACTCGACCAAGGAACAACTCGAATTTGCACGTAACAGTTCCCACCTGTCCAGTCTGCTCACAACGACGTAGATCGATCGCTGCACCGTTACCACTCATGCTCTCTCTTAATGCTCGCAGCCTGTCTACATGGCTACTTGAGTCACACGCCGCCACTTTATATATTTGCTGCGAGGTTGGACAACACGTCGCCCGTCATATCGAGCTTTATATTGTGCGGACTCGAGCGAAGTCTCAGCTGCTACACGGCCCATTCTTCTCGTCATGGCGCTCAACCATCTTCTAAGAAGCCAAACTTCATGCAAACTGCATGCCACCTGCTTTTCAAAATCACCCTCCATCTCATATTCTGACTCTTTCGATTCGCCCGACGTCGTTTCGCTTGCTTAGGCCGATGAGACACTAGTCGATTGATCCGGGACCGAGCGTTTGCTGAAGATTGCGCACTAAAGACCGCTATGACGCCCTGATCAATCGACCCTTTGGATCCATTTCGGGCAAGCCAGAGCCGCAATCACCTTCGATCCAGAACCACTCTTGTTACCATTCATTCACTGCCACCTCACAGGCCAAGTTGCTTCGCACTGGTACACAGGCTGACTACCAGTATTTGCGGACCAATGCTTCGCGCGCATGCGACATCATGGAAGCATCCTCGGCTCGACGTACGTCAATGGCGATCTGCTAGCGACATGTTGTACATCTACTGATTCGTGCACGTCATCGCATCCCATTTCACGACTATGCTGTAGTGTTGCCACGAACGATCAAGCGGTAGCATGGATACGCAAAAGAGTACCCTCAGTCTCAGGGCTATCACATCCAGGAAACAATCGTCATCAATGAAAAAAACGCGGACAACAATCCATCCAGCAAGTAATACCACACATGACTGTTTTTCAGCCAACCGTGAAAAGTCACTTTAGATCGAACAAAACTGCGCCAGGTCGTACCAGCTCTCACCAGCCACATGCAAATTTATTCGCGAACTCCTTCAGCTAGGAGGTTCACATGTCTGGCTAGACCTTACCCACGTAACGATGCGTGAGCTTGTAGTTCGTGTCCAAAGTCTTGAGCAACGACTTGCCGGCTGAGTCTAACGCCCCAAATAGCTGGTCTTTTTCATAAGACGAACAAACGTCCAGCAGTGCAAACACACCGGGGCGCAACTTGTGCTGAAAACGAACGGCTAGCTTGTCCCGGGATACGCCCACAAGGATTGCCATCAAGAGGTAGATGACATATTTACGCAACTGAACATCGTGCTCTTTCATGTACCCGTACAAACGCGCCAAATTTGAGCTCCACTCCGAGCAACAGACCGAATACTCAGAGTGCGCTGAGGTCAACACTAACATCTGAAGAAGTGCGTTCGCTGCTTGGACAAGTTGTTGAATACTGTTGACTAAAGTCGCGAAATGAGTTCGCACGATACGCAACAGCAGGGTGTACGAGAGCGTCCACAACTCATGCAGTTCGTCGGGCTGATATGTATTGGCTCCAGCTTGCCAGCTCGATACCGCTGTTAACAGTGGTTGAAAGCCCGTGAAGACATGTTGCAGCTCATGAGCTTTCCACGTATAAAGGCCTGCCTTAGAGAACACAAGTACGAAGGTCTTCAAGTTCCACACACGAAGGGCACTGGCGCTCTGGAAAACAGCAGACGGCCCGGCTTCAGCGGGCAATGACTGGACAGCAAAGTCCTGGAGCAAGGCTTCAACAATTGATTCTTTATACTCAATCAGAGACAGCCGTCGTGACGCGCTAAATTTTCGTTCCCCGCCTAGGAGCAAGCACAGCGCACGAAGTGCGCCTAGCTTTCGTTGGCGTTCACGTGCAGCAAGCTCTTGTACAAGAGTCGAAAGTAGCAGACGAAATTCATCCCTGTTTGCGTTGGCCACCACCGCTTGCAACGCCAGCACTTTCGTGTTCTCGTGCCTAGGCAAAATGGCGGTCTCACGTGACACAAGCGAAAGAGACACTGCCAACATACATCCATACGTCTTCAAAGGTGTCGCAAACGTGCGAAAAGACGCGTACTCTTCACAAAATCCAGCAAAAAACACCAAAGCTGCATCTTGAAGCTTTATATCATCCGCGAATTCACTAATAAGCTTCATTGAAGATGCTAAAGCACGCCCAACATGCTTCACGAGCAATTGCAATGCTGGACTCCCGACTGTCATCGCCTTCCCATTTCTTTTATCATGTCGAGCTACTTTATGCAGCACCGACTCGTACCGAAGTAGAGCAGCTAGCGCTTCGAACGCCAATGGACTGCGTGTCGATTCGCACACCTTCTCGCGAGCGATGATATCGACAACTCGTTCGATAAACTCTTTCTCATTCTTCGAAACCTGCAGCGAGGTTCGGCAAGCAGCCAGAGCTTGCACAACCATGACCGCGCGCTTCACTTTTCCTGTCACTTTGTCTGCGCATTTTGCCTCGACAGTCTCGGTGCCCAGAATGCTGTGAAGCAGTCCTCCAACGAAAGCGCTGGCGCCCATGTCCAAATAAGTTCCAAGCATTTTGGCAACCAGCGCCACACTGACAATGTCGTCTACCGCGATCCGTGAGATAATAAAGGATGCCCCGCTTTGAAGCTGCTCGTTATACTTTGGACAAGTCTTCTGCGACTTATGTGCCTCAATACTAATGACCTTGAAGTGCAGCTGAATCCATGCCAGCACAGTCCGACAGACCTCTACTTTGCAACTAGTATAGTTCGCGGACGCAACGATCGCGCGGTACAGAGTGAGAGCAGTCACCAGTAGCTCTCCACATTCCCGAGGCTTCAGATAAGCTGATGGAACTTCGAGCAAGAAGCTGAAAAAATGACGCGCTGAGCTCAAAGTCGCCACAGACTTGTGCTGAACTTGGTCCACGAAGCCTTTTGCCACCGCAGTCAACGAGTCCGGAGCGACATCCCTGATGCTCGGGATCTCATAGAATCCTGCGTCACGAATGATCAGCTTGGCCGAAGCTTTTTCTTCCCCCGATACGGCTTCACTGATATACGCACTCAGTATCTCACGAAAAAAAGATCCACAACCATCGCGACTCGCGCTGGCCATTAGCTCAGGCAAATGAAAACTCACTGCCTCCCAGCATTTCCAGTTGACGACATGCTCGATAACCAAATGGGCCACCTTCTCCCGTCCCTCGCGAGAGACCTTGCCTTTGTCTTCTGCTACTCCACTCGAAGCGCCTATATTCCGCAGCCAGTACGCACAGAGTTTGACGATCCCAGCAGCACCAAGACCGTGACCGATGCTCAGGCTCATCGCTTCACTGTCATCAGACTTCCATTCACTGCCTTTCTTGTTCATTTCGACTGTTCTTGACGAAAACGTGCACAATAGTTGTTCCATTGCTTTGCCAAATCGATCACCCTCTAGCTTGTCGAAGATCTGATCAAACGTTTGCTTGCGCGTGGAAGCATCAAGTACAGAGTCGTACATCAACAACTCTCCAAATATGCAGAACAATTCCCGCTGGTACGCCGTAAATAGGCCCATCGCATGTGCCAATCCGTTTGCAAGACAAGATAGCAAATGTTGATAGGAATGGGATACGAGCTCTAACACTGTAGGGCGATTCTGAGGTACCACTTGAACTTCCTGAACGAAAATCTGAAAGACTAAGCGCGCAATCGCAACCCCGCGGACACTGTGGATATCGTCGCTGCTTCTTGCAAACGACGCGATTTGCTTCACGAGAAGTTTCCATATTATGGCCAGTTGACCAGGAGGCAGAGCCACAAACGCTTTACGAAAAGCGAGTTTGCACGACGGAAGCGCAAAGAGCTCGTACAAGCCTTTATGACCTTGCTGGATTGCAAAAGCAGCATGCAGGAATGCATCCAACTTACGCATGGAATCGTATGCATGAATTAGCTCAATAATAGCATGGCTAGCTGCTACAGTGACCGCACCCTTTCCATCTCCATTGTCGATCGTGGCACCGCTTCCACTAGCCTTGACTCCGAGTAACGTAAAAATGGGAACTAGACAACAATTCGCAAGGTTGGGTGAGCACTGCACTGCACTAGAAATAACCTTACATTCCCCCAAAGCACATTCGCCATTTGGATAAGTTTGATCGCCATTTTTTGCATCGAGCACCCCCAAAAAAGACGAAAGCACGAGCTCCATCGTTCGGAATTGCTCGTGCTCTCGCGTATCTTCTGTCACACGATAAACGTCGCTTTCGCACAGCGCTCGAAACAACGCGTCGTACAGTGTCACGAGCACCAGCAAAGAATCGTCACTTTGCACCTCCTGCTGAAATGCGGTATACACCACTGCACACAACTCTGACCAGAACTTAAATGGAGAATGCGTCGTCGACGTAGAAGCAATGACGATAGCTGCGCGCTTTCGACTTGTCTTCAGATCTGTTTTTGCGTCTTCAATTTTTGAGTTGGCAGCTGTACGGATACGAGTAGCGAAAGCACGCACAAGCATCTTAAAGAAGCCACCAAGCGACATCTTGAGCTCCGATTGTACTTGCCGATCAGTCAGTAAGCGCAGTAATTCATCAAACAGAGTCTTCTGGTAGGACACCAACCCAGACACTGACTTTGCGCCTTCTGCTGCTTTCCGTCGCTTTTTTGTTTTCTTGTCATTCAGCTCCTCCTGTGCAGCATCTTTGCGTTCACATCCTGTATGCCAAATGGCGGCGTGTACCATAGCGCCATCAAACTGACAAATGTATTCGGCATCAAAGAGTGCATCTGTTACCACGTGATCCAGTAGCGCCCTTACAGCATCAACGCCGGCCACTCCTCTTTTTTCAAGTAGAACCAAAGAGTACCGAAATTCTACAAAATCTCTTAATGACATCTTGGCAATGGCCAAGAAGACCTTCTTCTTGTTCGTCTGCGTCTTCTGGAGCTCTTGGAACACAAACAACGCCGCATGCATCAGGTCCACGTACACTTTCTCTTGATCTGCACTCTTCTTCTCATCACTGCTAATCTTTTGAGGGTACATCATCATCGACTTGAATGAAGCAGTTAAGGTCCTCCTCAAAAACTCGGCAAACACGTTGGTCGGAGGGCGGTACATCTGAAACGTGGCTGACGCAGCTTCCGAGAGATCATCCGGTAATCTAAAGAGATAGAAAAGCACAGCCTTGACTGTCTGCAATGTCTCGTACTCCTGTTGCTCCTTCTCAAGCGTCTCGGCCAGTGCAGACAGCATCAAATTGCACGAATTCAGCGACAACGTCGCGAGCTCTGCGTCCCCATTGACAACGAACGCGTTGAGTGCCAGTTGCAGTAGCTGCAGCACCAGACGCGTCTGCTCCAGGCGGCTCCCGTCCTCGTGCTTGGATTTCGTGATGAGAAACACTGCAAACTGGAGCGCTTCGGACACAATGCGCTGTCTCGGTAGATTGAAAGCACGCTCGGCACGGACCAGCGCGCTTTGCGGACCGAACCGGAGGTCAGCATCGGGCTGGAGTAGCGAAACCCCCGTATGCAGCAACGAAGCGTCGCCGTCGTAGCTGCGGCGGGTGTGCTGCCAACGTACGAACGCTAGCGCGCCACCCCAGGCAGAGCTTTTCGTCATAACGCGCTGTGAACCAGTCGATGGACAACAAAATCCCAAAACAAGCACTGATAGATCAGAACCCAAATTAAGAATACACTTCAGCTGTAGTTGGCTGCATGCCCGGAGAAATTCAATGCACCAGCTTTTGTAAATCACTCACTTGTTTTGAAGCTCGACCATATTTTTATGTAGTGTGCATGAGACTCATTGTTGACATTAATATCAGTGATAATCTAACCGCGCATCCGCACTGCTTCGAGCTGGTCTTGTCGAGAAGGAGTTGGACGAAGAAAATCGTCCATGATACGCGGTGGTTCACGATGATAACAAAGACTATGCCAGCAAAAAAAAAACGAAATAACACGGCCTCTCCACGCAAGCAGAGCACACGGATGCCATTTGAGGCGATCTTTATCACCGCAGAAAAATAAGTACGCTGCATACACGGACCAATATTACATACACTTACGGCATTGTTTACGACTACACATTTCGACACCTGCTCGACTAACTTACGTACCGTCATGTAAGATGTTTAAGCAGATCCAGCCAATGTTGTCAGCGTCAAGACAGGAAGACCGCAATGCCGCCAAGGCTCAGGTATAAAGCGTTGATGCGGTTGCAAGACACATTTCGTAATAGCAATCCACTAGAAATTGAGAGCACTAGATGGGATATTAGTCTAAGAACTAAGTGAAAACGCAGTAGCAGCGGAACGGGTTTAGCCTGTTACATGTGATGAAACATAATTTGTTTACTCAAAATAGTATTTTAATCGGTGATTACATTCACGAATATCACCTTAAGTGGCAATTTAAAGAGCATTTGCTCATTGGCTGATAAAAACCCCAGTGGCCGAGTGGTAGACCGCTGGAAGTGGGATCGGGAGGTATCTGGATCGATACTGGTGGGGGTTCGATTATAGGGCGCCGGAGATAGGCCATTATAGATGAGAAACCACGCAGAAGGGGCCGGCCTGCCAACCCGCGCAAGGCGTGTGATAATTGGGTGGGCTGGAGGCCCTACTGGCCAAAAAGCCCCATAGTGTAATGAGGGGTGCGGGTCATGTAAGGAGTTTAAACTGAGTCAGAGTACTCGCAGTTCACCCCAGGGTGATCTGAAGGACCGCGCGGCATAAGTCTCTCATTGGCTGATAAAGACGATTATGCCATACTACACAGCAGTCCAATCAATGATGGAAGCTGTAGCATAGCAACCCTAACTCCCTTGTCAGAAAAAGACTCTTAGACTCGTAGAGTCTCTTAATGTATCAAGCCAAACGGTTACTCAATTAAATAGTCTTAAGTCTTACAGACTCGGTGAGACGTAACTCTAAGCATGTACAATCTCTTAAGCTTCTAGTCCTGGTTCAGGGGACTACGACACCAAGGAACCACATGGCGCTAATGCCCAAAAGTACTTAGTCTTTACTCAGGCCCTCCACTCATACGACCAGAGACGTCTTAGAAAGACACGTGTCTGAAACTGATCAAAGGGGGACTGAAAATGTTTACTAATCTACAGTGATAATAAAGGGATTCGTTAAATAGCATGCACTTTTCGCCAATGAGCACAGAGCTAAGATTTTATGGCACCCCTGAATTCATCTCCTTGGATGTGATTGGCTGGGGTCTATATTTCTCACCACACGCTTGCATCATCTTTTGTGGGCAAAGTTCATATATTTTTATTCGATTTTGTGTGAGGAGATGTATAACAATCGATGCACGTTGTCACCTGCATCTAAATCTACTAAAATGTATTCAAACTGCAGCCAGTTCCTCCAATTCTGCTCTTCTGTAGAGCCAAATATATCCGCAAGAGGTGGTTGGGGTGTTGTGAGAAGTGCTTTAGGTGCCGTAGGTGCAGCGGGTGTCGATGCGGGTGCTGTTGGCTGCGGCAAGTCCTTGCATTATGGTCTGCCTTCAGGCAATCGCGTCAACTTCTGCGCTGCCTCAAGGCATTCTCAACGTGCTCAAACTGTGACAGATCACGTTGGGTAGAGGTTCAGCCTGCATGGAGCCCACAATAAAGAACCAGCAAAGGGTTCTGCACATCAGCAGCAGGCAGAGCAGTGCAATGATCAAGGATCACCCTTTGCCGATAGATTGTCACCCTCTGTTGTTTCCCACAGTTCTTGTGTGCTTGGCAGTGAGAACTTAGTCCTCTGCCGCACTAGACGCAGCCATCGCTCTGCGAGCGTCATCTAGGGTAGAACATAAATCTCGTCACAGGTTCTGGAGATCATGATGAAGTCGCAAACAAGTTTCTTCAGTTTCCAATAGAAGGCTCTTGTTAGTTTTCAAATTATAGCCTGCTACAGCCAATCACAGGGCAAAAAACACTATTTTCATTTAGCATGCAGGGGCTGCGTGCTCATTAGCAAACAGTGTGTGCTAGTTGACAGATCCCGTAATGTATCTTACTTACGTCTTTGACTTGAAAACTAAGCTACCTAATTGAATAGTCCTCATCGTAGATCTTCTTGTGTACCACACCAGAACCACGTCTCCTCTATGAAAACCCTATTGCGATATTTTTACTCTGACCATAAACGATAGGGCATAATATAAGCACTTAGAGCGTGGGATACAAAAGTGTGCCTTTTCAGTGACACTGATCTCTTTCTGTGCGTACCACACCAATGTACCTGGTAACCACAAACGTTTGCGTCACCCTGTAACAGAGTCGCACATGTGTGGCTAGCAGACCGCTAACTTACATCTTTGTACCTAGCTATAACTGAAGTTGATTGACCAGATCAGGTTTTTAGAAGACTTTAACGAATCCAAATACAGTTCTACTTGTACCTATTACCCAGTCAACGACTTAGTAGATAAAACTTCCTCGCACGTACGTGCAAGTACGCTTCGAGGCACCTGCTTGCACTATGTCAGTGCACTTTGCCGAATCTGTTATCGGTTAAGGCCCAGGTTACTCTGTCACACCTGGTTGTGCTATATAGTCCGTCCAATGACTGCGGACTGAACAGCCAACAAGAACATGTCAGCAGTTGATGATGATAATAAAAGCTATGCGCAAAGGATACATCTGAATAGCTGACATTGAGTGTTGTGAAGTTGGACAGATGGGCTTAACCTCTGGCTCTCATAAAATAAACTCCAAGTTGGACTCTATCAGCAGAGACGACCAACGTGCCACTATCACCGAGTCCATCCAGAATGAAGTTGACGTATAAAACAAAAAAGTAGCCTCGCTTTATTAGCAAGGCTCTCGGAAGGCGGAACTGTTAAGAGAACAGGGAGTTTAACAGTCTGACTTGTTGAGACAACCACAAATTAGCAGCGCTGTTATCGGGATGACATCTACGCGTCGGCCCTGACCTTTGAAGATTGAGATCTCTATATATAGAGGAGCCTAGAATGACTCCTCTCCTTGTTGGAATATTTCGTCAAGCTGTACGGCCTTCTCATCTCGGATAAGAAAAAGCCTGTTGTATCTGCCCGAATCAAACATGGTAGGAAGTATCAAAACTTGGGTCATTGGGATCAAGATGCACGATATTTATGTTGTCGGGTAGTAAGAAGTTCTCAAGACCAGGTTCGAGCAAATTGATAATCCACCGCAAGCTTATTCAGGGATAAAACCAAGATCTTGAAACTTAAGTAGGAAAAACCTTGATAGACACGCTCACGCATAGCACACACGACTCCTCGCAAATATTATTGAGACCAATCCAGTCCATGGAAACACATTGATTGCGGTTTTAACGAAAATGTTTGTAGACGGTCCCATGAAGACCCACGGAATCCGCCGTAAAATCGATACGCTAGAAGAAGAAATCTTAGTAGCAGAGCAGAAAGACGCTAAACAAGATAAACCCGTATTTGTCCGTTGTCTTATTGTCCCCCGTGTCAAGATCGGAGCTTTAGAGTCCATGGACCTCTGTTAAGAGAATGCGGAGGTATTGCTCTCCTGGCATCAAGCGATTGCTGTAACGGGGTGAATCGTTACATAACAATTTATAAGAAATTGTTTACAGAATATAACTATAAGAGTTATATTCTCAAAATATTGTCATGAGGACAAATATTCTGTAGCACTTACGAGTAGTTCCTAATTGGTTGATATAGGCCATTATATCAACCAACGAAGACGCGCCACGACAGACGCACGCAATGAGTGGTGAGCAGATAGTTGATATACACATTTGTATTTAGACATAGTTAGATGAAGATAAATAGTGATTTATTGACAGACATTAACTATTATAAATACAGTTCTACTTTTTACTCTAACCAAGTACTCGCTTCTTCTTACCGTCTTCCTCTGCACGTACGAGTGTACGTGAAGTTACGAGGCACCGCCTTATTCTGTCATCAGAATAAGTAGCTTGTACTGTCACCAGTACAAGCTTCAGGGTGCCCCGTTACACCTGGTAGCACTTCGTAGTCCGTCCAAGGACCGCGTTCACATCCAACATGAATATGTTGGATGATGAAGATGACCAAAGCTTTCACGCTACGCGTGACGGCTACTCCCATTTGAGCGATGTCGAATGGGATGCGGTTGAACGAATGGGTTCGACCATGGGCATCCATGCTGTTAGCGTCATGCTAGAGGCTCTCAATAGAGATGCCCAACATGCTACTATCGCCAAGTTCGTTCAAAATGAACTTGACGCTGAACGCGAGAAAGTAGCCTTGCTTCACCAACAAGGTTCTCAACAAGCAGAGTTGTTGAGAGAACAAGGTGCTCAACAGTTTGAACTGTTGAGACAGCAGCAGGCTGCTGCTGGCGGGTCGATGCACTCGCGTCGACCCGAGACTTTGAAGATTGACATCTCAAAGTATAGAGGGGTCGAAGAAGACTCCCTCTTGCGATGTTTCGTCGAATTGGATGACGCCATAAGGGCGCGTCGCATCGACGACGGGGAGATGCAAGTTGCATTTGCCCAGTCAAATCTGGCAGGACGTGCCAAGACTTGGGCACTGGGGCTCAAGTTGCACGACCCATATGCGTTTGGGTCGTTGGAAGTCTTCAAGTCGCGGCTCAGA